AAATAAATAAAACGTTAAAAAAAAAAATTAAAAAAAAAAAAGAAAAATACATTTTAAAATGTAACCTGCAATAAGCGGGCACTGACCGAGGAGGTAGTGGCCGCAAATTGAGTATGGTGATTAAAAAACCACAACTTTCTGGTTGGTTCCCTCAGTCAGCAACGTTTCTTGGGTGCTCTTGGTGTATAATGCTCTCTTGTAGGGAGCCTTGGTTAGAGAACGAAGGAATACGGCATGTGATCCCAGGGAAAGGCAGTCTCACAAGACAGGGAGTGGACCGTGGGTATTAGCCCGACACAGGCTCAGCATGCAGGGACTCGCGAGAGAAGATAGAGAGGAGCTTCCCATCCGTGGTCCTTGCGCCTTTATATCTGGTTCATGAGACAGGGTTTGGTGTCCAACAGATGCCTGGTTCTACCTCTTTCTGAAGCACGTCCTTGAGGGAGTTCCTGTCCTATGAGCTGCGGTATTCTCAGGCACGAAAAGGAGCTAGTGGTTGGCAACCTCACAGAAGTGCTGTTGAAGGAACTTGTTTCTGACGCGTGTATTTGTTAAATCAGTTCAGATCCTTGTGTAAAGCAATGTCAGGATATTTAAAACAACCCCGAAGAAACACAAACAGCCCTTGAGTTTTAGATTCATAAAAGATCTCATACTAGGTTCCTCCCTCCTGCCATGATTCTTCGGTTATCTGGCAAAGGCACTCCAGGAAATTAACTGCACGCAGCTGCCACCATGAAATACCCAGAAAGTCACCTTGGAGCAAGACCAGCGCTTCCAAGGAAAAACAAAGACCCGGAGTTCAGAAAAAGAAGAAAGCTTTGTGATTGGCCAGTTGCCCATCCTGGAGTCCTTAGATGGGTGCTGTGATTATTTGGGGAATTGGCTAAGTTACTGGAATACTAAATCAGAGTCCCTGAAATGCCTCCAGATGGTGGGGTTGGGGAGGATTGAGGAAGACGGCAGCCAGCTGCGCTGGGTGGAGGAGGGAGGAGGTGGGAGCAGGTGCCCGTGCTCCCCGGGCTGGGAAGTCCCACAGGCAGGTTGGGGGTGGAGCAGCCAGGGCCCGGCTCTCTCATCCATAGGCCACCTACCGCCCAGTCTTCAGATGTCTGGAGTGACTCTGAACTTGAGGCCTGACAGCTGACAGCTTCCTATCTCGTCTTTCTACCACTGACCAAAATTCAGGTCTAGATGCTCTTCCACTTTATGAAATAATATTCCGGGATATATTTTCTAAGACAGCGAATTCAGTGAACATGCAAAATCCAAGGACTTACAGTCTGTTAACCGTTAAAATGTGTTAAACCCTTTTTATTTTTAAATGTTATTTATTTTTTGATTTTGAGAGACAGAGCACGAGTGGGGGAGCAGCAGAGACAGAAGGAGACACGATATCAGAAGCAGGCTCCAGGCTCCGAGCCATCAGCACAGAGCCCGACGGGGGGCTCGAACCCACAAACCACGGATCATGACCTGCACCACCCAGGCACCCCTATTAAACCCTTTTTAAAGTGGTTTGTGCATTTTATCTAGAGAGCCTTTTTTCTCAGTCCTGTTTGATGTAGTGAAATTCCTTTGGCAAGACAGTCAGGAGATGGAAATGGGAATGTGGTTTGATGAACATGGTTTTGATGTGAGAGATGAAGGGAAGGGTAAGGTGGCAATTTCTGGCTTCACCCAAGGGCCTGATTCTGAGGTGGCTACACCTCTGGAGCCCGTCAGCATTCCCAAGTGGTAGCATGGGCCCTTTGTGGAGCTGGGTAGGTCTGGGATTCTGCTAGAAGTGGAACAGAACAGAAAGTCGAAAGATCAAGTCTTAGATGTAAAGCAGAGAGCATCCTAGTTGGAGTCTGGAGAGCTCCAGCATCCAAACATCCGTGTTTGAGCACCCACCCAACCATCACCTGTGACCTATGACCTCTTTAACCTTTACGTTCTTCGTGTGAATGATGGTCCTCCGCGCTACCATGGATGGTTTGCCAGCTGTTAAAGTGCTTCACAGAAGTGTGGGTAGCTACTAGGGTTTGGATTTTTTTTTTTAATTTTTTTTTTTTTT